TGTATATTATAGTATTTACAACTATTTGTTGTACAACCTTTGTTGAACCCACCTGTTTCTGATGTTTACTGGGGAGCGATTCTGAATGTCTGGCAACTGTGCAGAGCTAAAAAAAAAAAAAAAAAAGATCACTGTATTAAGTAGCTTGAGGGGGCATGTGGTACATTGTCCAGTGGCTTCCAGTGCTTCAGCTACTCTGTACATGTTGTCGGTGGAGCTGGTGGTACTGCTGGTGCTGGTTGTGGCCAAAATCAAAGTGGGAACTATAGTAAGAGTTCAGTGGCATCTGACGTAACAGGTGGATATTCTATTGATGGAGCAGGTGGAAGAAGTGGCTTTGGTGCTGGTCATCTCATCAAAATTAAATGGAAACTTATTAAAATAGATTATAATCACATTTGATTTTTTTTAACTTAAAATGACAATCTTTTTGCTAAATTAAAATTATTCAACCCATTCTTTAAACAGGGTTTTGCTTGTCACCCTAAAGAGTTTAAAACAATAATTAATATTATCCCTAAAAACATCACAGTATTGATCAGAGGTTTTCTTTCACACTATTCTGTAATGTTCTCTCTTCCATCTTTATTTTTAGAGATCCAAAATGTAATAATAAGTTTTAAATGAATATTTTTATTCAAAGGCTTCATCATAATCAGCTCAGACCTCGTTTATTTTTAAAGATTTTAATTCACAGGAATTAGAAAAATAAGACAAGTTACATTTCTTTTTCAATTCTCCCCAAAATTAAAGAACTTCAGTTTAAATGATTAATGATGTGTATCCATCAAAAGAATTCCTGAGATTAAAAGTTGATAATAAGGAGATCTTGTCAATTTTGTGAAAGTCATATTGAAAACACTGAGCACGTTTTCTATAATTGCATATACTCATGTCTCATGTCAATATCCATGTAAACCCTTTTTGCAATAAACAAGTTAAATTTATTGTGACTAAAGAAAATTGTACACAGCATTAAGTAGTTAATAACCATTTATGCTTTGCAAAAAATTCTTCATTCATAAATATATAAATTTATAAATGTTGGTTTTTAAACCTTTTAAAGGGTGACAATGAGATTTATAGACCCAGACTAGTTTAAAAAAAAGTATCCTTTTCAGTTTTATTTTGCCCACCTAACATTGCTGTTAGTAATAGTAGTCACACACACACATGTGTGTGTGTGTATATATATATATATATATATGTGTGTGTGTATATATATATATATATATACATATGTGTGTGTGTGTGACTACCATTACAAACAGCAATGTCTATATATATATATAGAATTTGAATGAACAGATAGCTGAAGTGCTTCAATAGTCTGTTGAGTCCTGGAATTAACATGTAAGCTAACAAATCACTCATATTCTCATTCACAATAGAGATACTGGGTTTCCCATACACAGATTTATTTGTAGTAATGTGGGAGTTTTCACATGAACATTTCTTCAAAGGAAACCAAATTTGTGCACATTGCACACTGCAATCAAATAGTCTGCACTGAAAAGAGAATTAGAAAGATTAGGGAGGAGAAAATGTTTGGGGAGATGCAGAGAAAACTGTCCTACACTCTTAGATTGTGTTTTTGATTATTCACATTGTTTGATTGTCACTCCCTGGAACAAACACTGATTTGCCTCCAATTTGGGCTTTTGTCTGCAGTGTCACAAAACTTGGTGGTGAATAAAAATCCACCTAAACTCGGCCGGTGTGAACTTGCAATGACAGTGAGAGACTGATGCAGACTCCATAAAGCCCTGATCAGACTACATAATGCCATTTGCCAGTTACCACAGATCAGATTTGTGTCAGATTATGAGATTTTGACTTGATCAAATCTTGATGTGTTGTGGGTAACAAATGAAGACTTTGGCTTCAAAACACTACACATTTATTTTGATGGACTGATTTTAGAAAAGAAACTAGTTTTCTTCATGAAAACAATTAAACTTTCTGTAAACAACTGGTTTTCAGTTCATAATAACTTGAAACACATATAGAGTTATTTTGCTTTATTGCAGCCCTGTAGAAACTCTCACAACCTGGCACATCTTCACCCCTCTTCAGTTATTGAGTTTAAATCTTCAGGTTCAAAGGGTTTCATTCCAGTAACTTGAGATGTATTCAAGAGTTCACACTTGTCCCGAGATGCTATTCCATGCTATCCCGGGTGAGAGCCTTAAGCTCCGCTGGACAAGGCCTCATTTTTGCTCTCCATTGTGAAGCTTCATGTGATTGATGAGGCTTCTTTTATGTTTAAAGCCCTTTCCACACTCACTGCATCGAAAACGCTCGCCTGAGTGAATCTTCATGTGTTGCTTTATGGAGTCTTTGCATGTGAGACTCTTTCCACACTGATCACATGTGGTTCCAGTGTGACCATTCGTGTGATTCATGAGGCTAGCTTTGGTTGTGAAGCTCTTTCCACAATGAGCACATGCAAACGGCTTCTCTCCAGTGTGACTTATCATGTGGTGATCGAGTGTGTTTTTACATCTGAAACTTTTACCACACTCTGTGCATGTGTAAGGTTTCTCTCCAGTGTGAATCCTCATGTGGATTTTAAGGTTTTGTTTTTGAGAAAAACCTTTCCCACACTGTGTGCAAATAAAGCTTCTCTCTCCAGTGTGAGTTCTCATGTGGACTTCAAGGTTGCCATTTTGCTTATAACTCTTTCCACACTGGAGGCAAGAGTAAGGCTCCTCCCCAGTGTGAATTCTCATGTGCGCTGCCAAGTTTCCTGTAGTATAGAAGCTTTTCCCATACTTTTGGCATGCGTACGGCCTCTCTCCAGTGTGAATTCTCATGTGCACTGTTAAGTTTCCTATAGTATAGAAGCTTTTTCCACACTGTTTGCAGGTGTAAGGTTTCTCCCCTGTGTGAACTCTCATGTGAACATCAAGGTTTGACCTTTGACTGAAACTCTTTCTACACCGTTTACAGCTGAAATTACACCCAGATTTGGATTTCCGAGGTCTTCCACGTGATGAAGTCTTTTTAGTCAGTGTGGGTTTTTCGTCAGTCGTTATTTCTTGTTGTTTCTCTTCCATTTCATTCCATTGATGAGTCTCTTCTTTCAGCACCATCAGGTCTTTAAAAAAAGAACAAAAAAGTTAACTTTAGTATGAAAGCACAAAGTGGTAAGCATGACATGGATATTTACCCCAAATATTAAAGGGACTCTACTATTTACTCTCCATCATGTGCTTTTAAACATTTCCTTTCTTCTGGAACACAAAGTAAGCCAGCGTTTTTATCACAATATCTTATTTTGTGTTCAACAGAATCAGGAAACTCATCAAGGTTTAATACCACACAATGGAAAGTCAATGGTGAGGCTATTTACATTTCTGGGTCAGAAATACCTTTAAAGAGTTCCTATTATGAACCTTTTTTACAAGATGTAAAGTAAGTCTTTAGTGTTCCTAGAATGTGTAGAATGTGAATCTCAAAATCAGATCATATACCTTGCAGAATATTTCATTTTGGAGGTCAGAGAAAAACCAAGCTCTTTTTGTGCCTGTGGCTGTAAATGCAAATGATCAAATGCTCTAGATTACTCATGTTGTGTTCCCTCATGTGCATCTCTTTCTTGGAAAACCTGATTGACACAAATCCTGCATGTTCATAGCAAGTGCGCATAATTCAGCTTATATTAGTGAGTTTGCATTATTGTATATAACTTATGCAAATGTTTTCCGGTACTGGTTTGCAGCTGGACAGGCATCCGCTGTTTAAAGCATATGCTTGATAAGTTGGTGGTTCATTCCACTGTGGCGACCCCTGATGAATAAAGAGAGTAAGCCGAAGGTAAATGAATGAATGAACTTGTGCAAATGCTTAATGCCATGTTTGCTGTAAATTGAAGTGATGAGAATATGGCAAGATGAGATACTTTGCTACTGGTATTCATTCATTTGTACTTTTGTTTTTGTTTTCTTGCCTTTGTGCATGTCCTGAGGCTTAGCTGAAGACCTACATGATGACATTTTATATATACAAAATGCAGAAATGCCATTTAAAAAAAAGGTTATCTGCTGTTTGTCCAATCAGGGACGTGACAATGTAAATATACAAATAATATTGTTAACCCGGTGTTTGCGAATGTGAACTGTCTGTTAATGAACACCCAGGATTATTTTATAACCCCAGGTATAGCATGAGCAGTGTGAAACGTATTTACAGGTAACCCAGGATTCTGTTTATCCAGGGTTAGAATGACCCAGGGTTAACAATTTCAAGTGTGAAAATTCCTAAGAATACTCAGCATCAGCTCTCAGAATAGACGTAGTACAACGACAAACAGCAGCATATAAATATTCTCAATCATGTCATAGTGACCTGATGTAATTTGCTATTGATTTAAAACTTACAATTCAGTTGCCTATTGGAGAAATGACATGGAATAATAAACGGCTATACATGTTCATGACTATACATACAAAGACAAATAATAAAATAAGAAAATATAACTTTGCAACATCAAGCAGCATTAGGCATGGGCCAGTATAAGATTCTGACGGTATGATAAGCTTGAATAAAAATATCACGGTTTTGAGGTACTGAGATTACTGCTTTAAAATATATTATTTTTAAATGTCTGGGTGGCGAGGCAGTGGCGCAGTAGGTAGTGCTGTC